ATTGCTCTATCCTTATTCATACTTATCAATAGTCTATTTAAATTTAAGCTCTTCTAATAGATGTCTTGTAAATCATTTTGATGTTAATTTACATTTTCATGCTAATGCCATAGAGTCTTTTAACATGTTATCTATGTTTTTCAATAAAGTATATGTTAAAATATTTTAACTGCTAAGCTAAACTCCTGCTTCTCTGTTGTGTTCTTTTCTGTTTGTAATTATTTAATTTTTAAAAAAATTTATTTAAGTTATACAAGTTTCACATATTTAATTTATGTTGGTCTTGTGATTCAGTTTTCCTCTGCTTCAGTTGTGCGTATAGGCATGGAAGTTTTTCAATTTGGCAGAATTTTGAAATCCAGGCACAGATTTTTTTATTTGTTAATTGTTTTTTTTTTTTATTTTTTGACAGGCAGAGTGGACAGTGAGAGAGAGAGACAGAGAGAAAGGTCTTCCTTTTGCCGCTGGTTCACTCTCCAATGGCTGCCCTGGCAGGTGCGCTGCAGCCGGTGCACCGCGCTGATCCAAAGCCAGGAGCCAGGTGCTTCTCCTGGTCTCCCATGGGGTGCAGGGCCCAAGGACTTGGGCCATCCTCCACTGCATTCCCTGGCCACAGCAGAGAGCTGGCCTGGAAGAGGGGCAACCGGGACAGAATCTGGCGCCCCAACCAGGACTAGAACCTGGTGTGCCGGCACCGCAGGCGGAGGATTAGCCTATTGAGCCGCGTTGCCGGCACAGATTGTTTTATAATAAACATTTCCCATGAACTATTTGAAGATTCCTTGTATGCATGAATTTCAAAAAATCCCTTTTTCACCGAGGTTTCAGATGTGGATGGCAGGAACCCAAAGGCCAGATTCCTTGCTTGCTGCTTCCCTGGGTACACATAAGCAGAAAGCTGGAATTGAGAGGGAAGTCAGGTACTCTGACATGGGGTGCAGGCGTCTTAACCAGCAGGTTAACCATTAGACCAAATACCCATCCTGGTAAAGGATCTTAATAGACTTTGAAAATGAGAACCTCAAAAAAGTATATATTTTTTCTCTTTCTCTGTATGTCTGCTCCATTCAGATATTGAACTATCAGATTTGCAGGGTTTGCAAGTGAAAAGTACACCATGACTCATGAATCATGTTATCCTTATGAAAGATAAGCATGAAAGGCTAAGGGATCTTTTAAAAGATTCATTTATTTATTTGAAACTCAGAGTTACACAGAGGGAGAAGGAGAGGCTGAGAGAGAGAGAGAGAGAGGTCTTCCATCCGCTGGTTCACTCCCCAGATGGCCTCAATGGCCAGAGCTGTGCCAATCCGAAGCCAGGAGCCAGAAGTTTCCTCCGGGTCTCCCACATGGGTACAGGGGCCTAAAGACTTGGGCCCTCCTCTACTGCTTTCCCAGGCCATAGCAGAGAGCTGGATTGGAAGTGGAGCACCTGGGACTGGAACCCGTGCCCATATGGGATGCCAGCACTGCAGGCATAGGCTTTACCCGCTACACCACAGTGCTGGCTCCCAGAGAGATCATTTTAAAAAGTGGAATCCATTTGAGGTAGTATGCACATGAAAAAAAATGTTTCCCACCTGTAGGTATCTAGAAATAGTAATGTAGCATTACTATATAATAGTATAATATTATAGAATTCACCTGTAAATAATTGAACATAGTCCCATCTGGGGCAATTAAACCTTTTTTTAAATAGCATGAGCTCTGGAGACCATGAAGAATTAGAAATGTTATAAATCTAAATCAGAGTGTAGCCTCCTTAGCATTCTGATTAGGTGCCTCTGTGATCCAAACAATAATTGCAAGTCAGAAAGCTTAATAAGTTACAAAGAACTCCTGAGGTTCTGTCTCCCAGAGCTGAGATTTTGTAGACAAGTCTTTAATTGTGTGATTTCTGGGACTTTCAATTGAATACTTTTTTTTTTTCTTTAAGGTGAAAAGATGGTATCCAGGACCTCCCTATATGCCACCATAAATACTCATTTTTTAAAAATTATTATTTATTTGAAATGCAGAGTTACAGAGACAGAGAGAGACAGAGAGATATCCCATCCACTGGTTCACTCCTCAAGTGAGTGCAACAGCCAGGATTGGGCCAGGCTGATTCCAGGCACCTGGAACTCCATCTGGTTCTCCCATGTGAGTAACAGGGGCCCAAGTAGTAGGGCCATCTTCTGTTACCTTCCCAGGCTCATTAGCAGGGAGCTAGACTGGAAGTGGAATAGTCGGAACTCGAAGTGGCACTCAAATGAGTGGTTTGACCTGCTGTGCCACAATACTGGCCCCCAGAAATACTCTTTTGCTTGGAGTTGAGAGGTCCTTGCAGGTAGTCTGGTTCCCATGGAGGGTCATGTATCCAAGGCAATACTATATCCTGTTCCTTGTAGCCAAAACAGTTCCCCTTGACATCATCCTTAAAGGAAAGGGACAGAGTGTGGGGCACACTGAAGGCACTTACAACAAAAAAGTGAAATGTTTTCTCTCTGACTGTTGGGTCCTATTGAAGATGGTGATGGTGGCATTTATGGACAAAAGCTATCTACATAACATTGTTTATGGTGTATGTCTACACTTCTACTCAGGAGCATTTGCCAGTCACTTGACTTCACTGCTCTCTGATTCATCAGGATATCTTTCAGAGAACTGGGGATTGGTATTAAGGATGGATTCCCTGATGTGCAGAACTTTCTTAACTGAATAACCCACTGAGATGTTATTGATATTGGAGATTCCTTAAAGGGGCAGGCATAGAATCCATTGTTAGCAGGTGCCCTGGATGATTTTCCAGCATGCTAACCTTTGAGAATCTCATCCAGTGAACCCACTCTTAGCCTAACAAATGCTGTGAGTAGTGTTTGGATGTATTACTTATGCTCTGGGGCCCTTTGCACTATTCTCAGTATTTCTGAGATGGAACACAAGGAACTTATTAGTTCAGGAGTTGGAAATCTGGGGAATGTTTGGTTTTTGAGGTGTCTCTTCATGAATTACCTGTATATCTATGTAAACTGTCTAAAAACATTCTACCAACTTTTTAAAGCAGATATATGAAAATTCTACATAGGTGTGGAGTACTATATGATATTGTGAATACGTGGATGTATTGCATCATACAAATCAGGATAATTTTATTTCCCCAAACATTTAACATTTTTATGGTAAAATATTCAAAATCTTCTAGTTTTTCTTAATAGAGAAATCTGCAGTACGTTAACATTACTTATAGCCACCCTGTTGTGTGGCAGAACCCCAGAAATTTTAGTCTCCTCTAGCTGTGATTTTTGGTACCCATTAATCAACCTTTCCTAGCTTTCCTTTCCCCTTTCTTCCACAGCCACTAGCAACTTACATTATCTTTTAAAGTCTATGAAATCCCTGTTTTTTAGGCTCCATCTAAGAGTGAGATCATGTGATACTTGTCTTTCTTTGCTTGACTTTTTTCACTCAACATAGTGGCCTCCAGCTCCACCCATCTTGTTGGAAATGACGATTTCATCCTATGGCTGAGTGATATCCTCCAGTAGATATGTACCACATTTTCTGCATTCATCAGTGGATGGACACAGGTTGTTTCCATTTTTGGGGCTATTTTGAATAGTGCTGCAATAGACATGGAGTATAGATATCTTTGATTTCATTTCCCTTGGATATATACCCAGTAGTGGGCTTGCTGAGTCTTAAGGTAGTTCTAGTTTTAATTATTTGAGGAACTTCCATACTGTTTTCCACAATGGTTGTACTAATTTACATTCCTACCCACCTTGTACAAGGTTGCCTTTTTTCTATATCCTTTCCAGTACTTGTTGCCTTTTGTCTTTTTGATAATAGCCAATCTAACAGTGGGTGAGATAATATCTCACTGTGATTTTATTACCATTTCCCTGATATTTGGTGATGTTGAACATTTTTTCCATTTATTTGTTGGACATTTGTATGTCTTTGAGAAATGTCTATTAAGATCTACTGCTCACTTTTAAATTAGATTATTATTATTGTTTACAACTGAGTTGTTTACTTCAGGTTATTATGTCTCTGTCAGATGTATAGCTTGAAATTTTTTCTCCCATTCTGTAAATTGGCTCTTCATTCTGCTGTTTCCTTTGTTATGCAGATATTCTTTAATTTAACAAAATACCATTTATCTATTTCTTTTTTTTTAAAGATTTATTTTATTTATTTGAAAGACAGAGTTACAGAGAGAGGTAGAGACAGAGAGGTCTTCCATCTGCTAGTTCACTCCCCAGATGGCTACAATGGCTGGAGCTGCACCAATCCAAAGCCAGGAGTCAGGAGCTTCTTCCAGGTCTTTCACATGGGTGCAGGGGCCCAAGGACTTGGGCCATCTTCTACTGCTTTCCCAGGCCATAGTAGAGAGCTGGATCAGAAGAGGAGCAGCTGGAACTAGAAATGGCATCCATATGGGATGACAGTGCTTCAGGCCAGGGCTTTAACCTGCTGCGCCACAATGCCAGCTCCAGCCATTTATCTATTTCTAGCTTTACTCCTTGTGCTCTTGGAATCTGACTTTTTTTATTTTTAATCCTTGTCTAATGCAATGTCCTGAAGCATTTCTTTTGTGTTTTCTTCTGGCAGTTTCACAATTTCAGGTCATAAATGATCTTATATATAGAAATCATCAAAGACTCCACCACAAAGTTGTTAGATAAGAAATAAAAGATTCAGGGGCCCGCACCATGACTCACTTGGTTAATCCTCCATCTGTGGCACCAGCATCCTATATGGGTGCCGGGTTCTAGTCCCAGTTGCTCCTTTTCTGGTCCATCTCTCTGCTGTGGCCCAGAAAGGCATTGGAGGATGGACCAGGTGCTTGGGCCCCTGTACCTGCATGGGAAACCAGGAGGAAGCACCTGGCTCCTGGCTTTGGATTGGTGCAGTGCCGGCCATGGCGGCCATTTGGGGAGTGAACCGATGGAATGAAGACCTTTCTCTCTCTCTCTCTCTCTCTCTCACTGTCTATAACTCTACCTGTCAAAAAAAAAAAAAGTACAGTTAGTGTTAAATTAGTGGTGGTGTTACAGACAGAGAATGGGAGAGACAGAGAGAGAAAGGTCTTCCATGTGTTGGTTCACTCCCCAGATGACTGCAACAGCCTGAGCTGAGCAAGAGCCAGGAGCTTCTTCTGGATCCCCAATGTGGATACAGGGGCCCAACCACTTGGGCCATCATCTCCTGCTTTCCCAGGCAATAGCAGAGAGCTGGAACAGAAGAGGAGCAGCCGGGACATGAAGTGGCACCCCATGGGATGTTGGAGCCACACTTGGAAACAGCCTACTACCCTACAACACTGGCAACCAGAAATTTGCTTTTAATATAAACTTGGTGAGGCACTGACATACCATTAGTATTTCCTGAATAAAACATGTAGCAAAACACAACCAAGTTCACCTGCCCTTGGCTCTGTTAGGGCAAAGGTAGCAGTGGAGGTATCCTTTACTGGTGGAGCCTGCAGCATTTAAGATGGTGATAGTGAGAGTGATTGCAGGAGGCAAATGGGTTATGTTATTCTTCCCAAACCTAGCACCCCAACTAAAACCCCCCAAAGGCCCTAGCTGAGGATTAAAAGGTTGAAAAATACAAAACAAAGATAGCAACAACAACAACAATAGTAAAGTCACCTCTCCATCCTCCCTGACTTTATGATTTTCTTATTTTTGGCCTAAGGGTTCTCTTTATACTTTGGGAGGAATTTCTGGCATAATTGCAAAGATATTACTTAGCCAACTTTGATTTATCAGTTTTAGCAAAGAAGAATAATGATAATCGGAACATTTCTCTTTGCCTTTGAATTATATTTGCTCATTTGGCTTTTTGTAATCAGCTATATTTTATATGATATTTGTGTAGGAAATTATAAATAAATTTTAGTTCCATAATAAACTGCTTGAATGGTGAGATAGTAATGGACATAATCATGACAGGCTGATAAAATAATTATTTTACCAAAGGTCATTCATTATATAATAAGCTAGTAAGAAGTATCCTGACTATGCTTCACATTTTTACTTGACTCTAGTAGCTTTCTATGCAACGGACCTTCAAGGATAAGTATAACATGTGATTATGCATGGTATTTGACTTTAAGGATAAGCAAGAATATTGTGCCATATTCTTTACTCTTCTAATATCACAGACCTCATCATTTATGATTTGTTTCATTTAGTTATAGAATTCATCTCATTTTGTGAGTTATCTGCTAAATGAAAATTTTCCCCATAAGCCCATTTTCTTTAGCTTTTCAGATCATGATTTTCTAGACAAGCAAGAATGAAGCATTCTGATAGAAATAGATGCCTGATGAAGGTGAGGATGCTAAAAGAATTAAAGCAACTGTATGCCAACCATTGTCCTAAGTCAATAGGGAAAACAGTCATAGATGAGAAATTGTTCCTTGTCTCAACAAGCTCCCAAATAGTTGAATGAATAAGGTATGAACTGCCATTACTCTGTCTCCAAAACACTGTCTTTAACAGTGCAGGCGCATAATTGTTTTTGAGGTAATGAAATAATGTCACAATTTTTCTCAAACTCACATCTGGACCTACTTCTTTGTCCCTGAAAATTTGGAACTTTCAAGTGAATGTAGTGTTTCAAGAGCATCACAAACAGATCATCCAAAGCTCACCAGGTATATTCCACCAGGTGTCCAAGAGAAGCCTCCCTGCAGACTGGATTCTGGGCTCCGAATCATCACTGACACAATTTGCTTCCATAATTAGTCAATACTGAATTGAATCCACTGCCTTTATGCCACTATCAAAGTTTTTCACATAATTATTTCTACTTCTTTGTTCCTCTGTTTATATCTGAATCTAAATCTTGAATATGCCTTTATATCTTCTCAGTTTAAGTGAATTATCCTCAACTTCGAAAGCAAAGTTCAAAATCTGCCCTTTCATGAAGATCCTCTTGACTGTTGAAGATGATAGTGATTAAGATGTTTGATCTATGAGCCCAAACCTTATTGTGCCACACACGGTATATGTTTCTTCATTCATTCAGCAGTAAATACATTTGCTTGACTAACTAATGAGGCTCCAAAGAGGCTTATTTTTCTATCAGTGGACTTAATCTATTGTAGAAGCCTCAAATGATAGGCTAGCTTGGGAACAGTTCTTACAAATACACAAACTTGCAAACCTCAGGAGATAAGAAACTCTTGGGACTACTGGTCTTCATATTTCTAGATATTAAATACTGAGACTGGGAATGAAAGTCACAGTTCCTTGTTATCTGTTAAGGAAGAAGTTATAGTTCATCCATCTTAATTCCTACAGGGAGGAGGGTAAGAGAAACTCACCTGCATCTTCAGGAGGAAGAGAGTGAGTTTTGGAATTACGGTGTTCATCTTGTGTGGCCATTAAAACGTATTCTAAAATCGACTGCTGATTGTCCACATATGAGCCCAAAAGTTTCTGCATGTTTTCAGGTTACCAAGACATAGGAGTAGACAAAAGAGGCCATGGGCAACCATTTAAGCCTCATTTGTGCTTTGACCACTGATCTCATTTAGTAGACTAGAGCTAATTCTGTGAATTAATATGTGAAATTGCCAGCTTTAAACATATTTACACAGACATGACAATGCACAAAGTGTGTTGATACCATTGTCTTACTTGATTTGCATGATATTTTGAAGCAAGTATTATTTTTTTATGGGTGAAAGCATGACACACAGAGAGACTCTAATGAGTCACATATTGCAATGTAAACCTTAAAGCTGGAATTGGAACTAAATCTTGTGACTCATGATTAGGGCTCTTTTTGCCACCTCTGTACTAATGGTTTCTTTCTTGAAAGGGAGGCAATTAAGATTTGCCAAGTCAGGTTCAGAAAACAGTATGTATTCTAGACTTGTGCTGTCTAATATATAACTTCCAGGCACAGGTGGCTACTGAGCATTTGAAATGTGGCTAGTTTGACTTTTGTGTTGTTAGGTATAAAATACACTATGGACTTTTAAAAAAGAATGTAAACTTCATTAAGATTTTTATATGGATTACATATTGAAATGATAGTATTTTTGGCCACACCAAATCAGTCTGCATTATTAAAATTGATTTTATCTGTTGTTTTTGCTTTTATAAAAATAAGTTTCTAGGAAACCTTAAGTTGTCCATGTGGCCATGTTATATTTCTAATGTGCAATGCAAAGCAGACTCTACTTTCAAAAAATATCTTCAATTGTTATATGTTTAATAATATTGTGTCATATACCAAAATGTTTAAAAGCCATCTTACTATGCATTCTAAATTACATTTTAAAATGTATTAATATATAGAGAACAGATTTCATGAATTTTATAGATATGACTCCAAGAATACAACTGTATTTCCTCTCTTCCTCCCCCACTGCCTCCTACCTTCTTTCTCTTAAAAATTTTTTTTTGATAATTGCTAACAACACATGAGTCCCATGAGTCAGGGTAGTCGTTTATTTTAGAAGGTACTCAGACATGCCATCTAACAAAATTTCATCTCTGTTATTAGTAGTTAATTAGATATAGTAGATACTGGTTACCATTTCTAATTTTTATGTGTATTAAGGCAGATTTGTATAACACATCTTCCTACAAACACAACAGCATAATATAATTTTTTGTAACAAGCTGTTTAATGTGACTATTACACTGCTATAGAACTGAAGCATTCAAATACAGGTGGAAAAATAGTGATATATAAAATTATATAGTTTCTATGTTTTATTCAAGAGAGCTTTTCTTGAGAAGATGATTAAAGAGATGAGCTTAATGTGATCATATAATGTTTTTGGCACAGAGATAAAAAAGGGAGAGGTTTAGAGGAGGGAAAAAAAAAAAACAAGAAAGAAAATTTCAGCTTCAAGAGGGAATAATCTAACATACTACTTCTCAAACTTTGATGTGTACACAAGCCCTGTCGGGATCTTGTTAAAACGCAGATCCTGATTCAGAAGGGGATGAGGGTAGGACCTGGAGCTGCACATATCTAGCAAGTTCCCCAGGGGTACTGTTGCTGCTGGCCTCTGGATCACACTGATAACAAGGACATGAGCCAAAAATGTTTGTGGGAAGTGCAATACTGGAAAGAGAGATCTAACCAAGAAGAGCAGAAAACAGGACACTGGAATAAAACAAAGACCATAGGCAACATGGAAGACATGTTTCTTTGATGGCATGCTCAGTTGGATTAGGGGAATGTGGGAAAATTAAATACATTCTGGGAGTGGTCAGTGTATTTGTGATATTTGGGATAGATTAAAGGAATGCATGGGAAAACCCATGAGATAAAAGCAGAAAACTGCACATGAGTGCCCTTGAACACTCTTGATATTTCTGTGTAGTCTCTGTGACTACACTGTACCTGTGCATGCTAATTGATGCGAGAGGGCAGGAAAGGAAGACTCTGGTGTTTTGGTAATGGGCACAGGGCAACAGGACACTGTTTTGCAGATGATTGCCCATCTCCATCCCTGAGGATGGCAGAAGAGCAGATCCAAAAAAATATATATTCTGTGGAATTTGAAACCTGCTCAGAGCTCAAGTTGCCAAAGAAGACTTCCTTGTCCTAATAAAGCAATAACGATTGTGATCAAAATGACTCAAGTGACCTCTTGAAAAGCCAAGGAGTAACGCAGATCCTGAACTCAGTAACAAGAGAAAATGCTGACTCAGATGTCTGAGCAGATTCCCATACAATCTCTGGACACACATGAGGAGGTGGAGGGGGCTTTGTGAGCTGCTCAACATTCAGAGAACCATGGTTAGATTTCTCAGAGTTAAGGACATGGCAGATCCCAGATCAGGCAAGTCAAAGAAGTGCAACATCTTTGCCCTCTCCTGAAGAGAGGTGTGTTTGTAGACAGGAAGTGCTGTTTGGGTGCCTCCATGAGGAACACAGATATCTGGGTGTTTGGCGTTTCAATATGGCAGCAGTTGAGCATCATGAAATTCTCAGTGGCTTGGTGAGAGGTAGGCTTATCCCAAAGGACGGCCAAAAATTCAGAAGATGGAAACACTTTGGGGAGGTCTGCTGTTAACCAACACCTACATGTGCTGAAGTATAAGAAGAATAAACCTGCCACTTGGGCATCAACTTACAGTTGGATGAAAAATAAAGTGATCATGTAAATACACATATTTTCCTGAAATGTGTTCTGAGCCACACTAGTGTACAGTATGACTTGAAAATAAGTATGGGGAAGATCTATTATCACATAAGTTTGGAAAAGACTGTCTTATGGAGTCCTCTAGGAAGACTGAGCCATCCTTTGGTTAAGTTAACTCTGTAAATCATACAATGTTTGGTCACTTATTTCATATGCCTATTAGCAACTCCTCAGAACTAAAATTCTGTGGAACACTCTTGGAAACCTTGACATAACTGACCTGTTCACAGGAAGTTCTGGAGACGGGGTCAGCCTAGGTAACTGTGTCATCAACAAAAGTATCTTCACCCCCAGCCTCCTCTTTATACACCTCTTGAACTGATTTGCTTCAGACCCCAGCATGGTCTGGGTCTTGTCTTCAGCATTAATCTTGCCTCTCACTCTGGAGTGAAAGACTGTCATTTTCTGAAGGAACTGGAGAGACTGGTGGGCATAGGAACATGTGTTGATTGTTCATAAAATCTACAAGCAAGGTAGATGTTCTTAATGACTATTTTTCTGGGTGCTGCTTTTTGGTTTTCATCATACAAAGTCAATGTTTCATAATTAGAAAGATCTTGGCCCTGGGGAGTTGGAGATAAGTGGGATTCTCTCTGTCTAATGTGACTCTTTCCCTCTCATCTTCACAGAATTATCAAAGGAGGCTGACTATGAGAAACCATTCCACAGTGACTGTTTTTCTCCTTTCAGGCCTCACTGAACAACCAGAGCTTCAGCTGCCCCTTTTCTACCTCTTCCTAGGGATTTATGTAGTTACTACTGTGGGAAACCTTGGCATGGTCGCCATTATTAGGTTGCACTCCCAACTTCACACTCCCATGTACTATTTCCTCAGCAGTTTATCTTTTTTAGATTTCTGCTATTCTTCTGTCATCACTCCCAAAATGCTGGCTGGTTTTTTATATGGAGATAAAGCCATCTCCTTTTCTGGATGCATGGCTCAGCTGTTTTTCTTCTGCATTTTTGTCATTTCTGAATGCTACATGCTGGCAGCCATGGCCTACGATCGCTATGTTGCCATCTGTCGCCCACTGCTCTACAACAGCATCATGTCCCCGCGGGTCTGTTCTCTACTGGTGGCTGCTGTCTTCTCAGTAGGTTTCACTGATGCTATGATTCATGGTGGCTGTATATTAAGGTTGTCTTTCTGTGGATCAAACATCATTAAACATTACTTCTGTGACATCGTCCCCCTCATTAAACTCTCTTGTTCGAGCACTTACATAGATGAACTTCTGATTTTCATCATTGGGGGATTTAACATGGTAACCACCAGCCTGACAATCATCATTTCCTATGCTTTTATCCTCACTAGCATCCTCCGTATTCACTCAAAAGATGGCAGGTCCAAAGCCTTTAGCACCTGCAGTTCCCACCTGCTGGCTGTTCTTATGTTTTATGGGTCTCTCATGTCCATGTATCTCAAACCTGCTCCTAGCAGTTCACTAGTCCAGGAGAAGGTGTCCTCAGTATTTTACACCACGGTAATTCCCATGCTGAATCCACTGATTTATAGTCTGAGGAACCAGGAAGTGAAAAATGCACTGACAAAACTTTTAAGAAGAAAAATATCTTCATAAGGAATGTATTCTTTATTAATATTCATTGATATATTCATACCCATGTTTATATGTATGTGGACATAAATATATACAATATATGAGGGTATTTCAATAAATTTATGGAAAATGGAATTGAAAATTTATTTTGGTAAAACTTGAAATTCATGCATAGAGCAGCTTTCAAAAGTTGATGGGTGTTAATATGAAAAAAACTGTATATTTATATTTCCAAGATTATTTTCACTAAACTAAACTTATAACTCTGTCTACACCCTTGTGTGTATTTTGAGATAATAAAATATATGCACAAGAGTCCCAAAGGGACAAATATCATATGTTCTCCCTGATTGGTGACAACTAACTTAGCACCAAAGGGGAAACCTGTTGGAGTGAAATGGACACTATGAGAAACAGTGACTTGATCAGCCCTTGTCCTGACTGTTGATGTACAATGTAATACTTTATCCATTTTAGTATTTTTTTTGTTCTAGTACTATTGGTTGAACTCTGTAATTAACACACAATTATTCTTAGGTGTTTAAATTTTAACTGAAAAGTGATCCCTGTTAAATATAAGAGTGGGAATAAGAGAGGGAGGAGATATACAATTTAGGACATGCTCAATTGGACTTGCCCCAAATGGTTGAGTTAGAATTGTGCCAGGGGATTCCAATACAATCCCATCAAGGTGGCATGTAGCAATGCCATCTCACTAGTCAAAGTGATACATTTCAATTCACAGTTGATCACATTGATAGGTCTAAGAGTCAAAGGGATCACACAAACAAGACTAGTGTCTGCTAATACTAACTGATAGGATCAAAAAGGGAGAGGATGAGCCAACATGGGAAGCAGGATACACAGCAGACTCATAGAATGGCAGATGTCCTAAATAGCACTCTGGCCTCAGAATCAGCCCTTAAGGCATTCAGATATGGCTGAAGAGCCCATGAGAGAGTATTTTAGGCATGGAAAGCCAAGACACTCTGGAAAAAAAAAAAAAAGAACTAAATGAAAGATCTCTGGGAGTCAGATCCCAGTGGAAAGAACGGGGCCATCAAAGAAGGAGGTACCTTTCTCTGAAGGGAGGAGAGAACTTCCACTTTGACTATGACCTTGTCTGAATAAGATCGAAGTTGGTGAACTCAAAAGGCTTCCATAACCTTGGCAACTCATGACTATAGCCTAGGGAGATTACTGACGCCATAAACAAGAGTGTCAAATTATTAAGTCAACAACAGGAGTCACTGTGTGCTTACTTCTCATGTGGGATCTGTCCTTAATGTGTTTTCCAATGTGAAGTAATGCTATAAGTAGTACTGAAACAGTATTTTACACTTTGTGTTTCTGTGTTGGTGCAACCTGATGAAATCTTTACTTAATATATACTAAATCAATCTTCTGTATATGAAGATAATTGAAAATGAATTTTGATGTGAATGGAATGGGAGAGGGAGTGGGAGATGGGACGGGTGCGAGTGGGAGGGAAATTATGGGGCAGGGGGGAAGCCATTGTAATCCATAAACTGTACTTTGGAAAAAATATATGTACAAGATACAACCAAGATGCTGGAACAGGGAGGGAGATTACTGCTCTTATCTAGGGGAAGATAGAAAAAAAAAAAAAACAAAAAAAAAACCTTGGAGAAAGTCCAATGTCAGGGAAGAGTTAGGTAGAAAATGGCAGAGGTAATTCCACGCAAATTAGCGGAACACTGTGGACCTACAGGGAGGGTGTGGAAGTGCACTACTCAGGACCCCAGCAGCCAAGAGCCTCAGCACCAGCTGTGGGGAGTGAGGTGAGACCAGACTTCAGCAGCCCATGTCAGTGGTGATGAAGCTGTGGGAAGAGCCTGGCATGAGTTGGGCTTGGAGCCTTGTGCAGGACAGTGTACCTGCCAACCCAGAGGGAAAAAAAGGGGAACATGTTTCTCTCTCTAGGACAACCGGGCACCAACATCCTGTAACTATCTGAGACAGAGCAGGCACCATTTTGGACATACATAAATGTACACCAGCTCATGTCCATGAGCCCAGCATCCAGCTGAGCAGAACACCTGAGTATGGCTGGGAGGAATGACAGAGGGCTGGGCGCTCGGGACTGTGGGAGCCTTGTGTGTTGGGACTGCAAAAACACTGTGGTTTTGTGTGAGGGCCCTGGGAGTGGCTGGGCCTTTGGGCAGTCACTGTGGCTGGCTCCACACATTCTGGGTTCCCTGATTCCCTGATGAGGGTCCTTGCTGTGGGAGCTGTGCTCACACCAAGGACTGCATGGATCCTTTGTGTGGTTCTTGTGGCCGTACGAATGAATACTGTACACACTGGGGCTAGCGGTCAGGCATTGGTCTCCTTGGAGGAGAGAAGGTGAGCATGAGACTTTGCCAACAGAGCAGATTAATCCTTCCCTCTGATGAAAAAGAAGAAGATATTTACCACCCAATTTGCGTGTCACCTTGAACAATCTCCTCACCCTGAAGCACTGAACAGAGCTCCCTGGCCACACCCAGAACTGAAAAAGCAGATACTCCACTAATCCACAGAGGCATAGTCCAGAGATAAAAAGCCATCACAGGGAAAAAAAAAAACAAAAACAAAAACAAACAAACAAAAAAAACAACCACCAAGTATCTCCACAAATGCCCAAAAAGAAATGCAGCAGCTCAAGAGACAGGAATATGGAAGACAACAGGATGCCTCCAAAGGGACACAGCAATCCTTTAATACTAGAATGAGAAAATGAAGAGATTGAAGAAATTCTGGAAATGGAATTCAAAAAATTGATCATAGGATTACTTAGAAGTAATCAGAAGCAAATTTACAAATTTGCATTATGTAATTAATTAGTTTTTATTTCTGGGTAAAATTAGAAATGAAATAAAGATTTGCACTACCTAAAGGATGACAGTAATGATAGTGCTTAAAAGCACTGTGAGCTTTTTTGTGTTTGAGGCATCCAAAATTCAAGTGTTTACTAGATTTTTCTCTGGAAATTCTGCTCTTCTTTTTGTGCTTCATGAATTTCCTCTTATTATTAATGTTATAGAACAGCAGGGTTAAAGTGGCAAATATATATATATATCTGTGCTCATTATGAATTCCATAGCCTTTCTAGTTAGGAAAAAATAGTCTCAAAAATACTGTGTCATTTTTATTAATATTTTACCCACTGATGTTATTTTAGAAATATTTAATCATTTTAATAAGGTGTCTATAAAAATTTAAAGCATTACATATTGCATTTGGACTAGTTAGTTAAGAGTAAGAAAAAAAAACTAGTTTACTGAGACTTTAGATGCTCCATTAGTTAAATTTCAAATTTTTTTAAAAAAATTGTATTTAAGATATACAAGTTTTATATATTTCATATATACAGATTTAGGAACATGGTGGGATTCCGTCCCTCCCCACCCCCCGTCACCTCCCCACACTTCAACCCGTCCTCACAGCCAGAAGGTACCTCAGATAAAACAGAGAGCCCTCACCAGGCTCTCAATCTGCTGGCACCTCAATCTTGGACTTCTCAGCCTCAAACACTGTAATAAATAAATTTCTGTTATTTGTTGTAGAAAATTTTAGAATTGTATATATGAACTGCATGAAATTTGTTCTCTTTGTATTAATATTACATTAGCTTGAACATTGATGAGAATGTGTTGTAGTAATTATCATGAATTTGCTGTGACTCTGGAAATCTAATGTGTTAATAAATAAATTCCTTTAAAAAAAAAAACAGGAAACTATTATAATATCAATAGGCATCTTATAGTTTTCTAATTTGTGGTTTGAAATGGAACAGCAACCAGAAACAAATCCCCCTCATGATCTTCAATAATTTAGAAATACAGTGGTCTTAGTTCAACAACAACTAGATTTTTAAAAAAAATCTTTGGATAAAGATTTTATATTTGGATAAAATCAAAGGATAAAAATTAGTGTGTCTGTGTGTGTGTGTGTAATTAAAGTGGCAAGAAGACAGAGAGCTTCCATCCACTGGTTTACTATGCAAATATCCAAAATGGCTGAAGTTGGGCCAGGCTGAAGCCTGGAGCCAGGAGCTGGGAGCCATGGAGCCAGGAGCCAGGAGCCAGGAGCCAGGAACTCTATCTGGGTCCCCTATTGGATAGCGAGGACACACTTAGCAATCACCTACTGCTTCCTTGAGTTTGCATTAACAGGAGGTTAGAATTAAGAATTGAGCTGAGGGGCTGGCTCGGTGGTGCAGTTGGTTAAAACCCTGTCTGTAGTGCTGGCATCCCACATGGGTGCTAGTTCAAGTCCTGGCTGATCCATTGCCTATCCAGCTCCCTGCTAATGAGTCTGGTAAAGCAGCGGAAGATATGTACGTATATTATTTCAAAAACAATAAGGGTGAAGTTGTACTGGTAAGAGAGTTGACAGATTCTTCAAAGGACTGATATTATTCTTGCAGCAAATCTTTGCATACATTGAAAAACTTAGTATGTGTGTTTTTTTTTTTTTTTTTTTTTTACAGGCAGAGTGGACAGTGAGAGAGAGAGACAGAGAGAAAGGTCTTCCTTTGCTGTTGGTTCACCCTCCAATGGCCAGCACACCGCACCGATCGAAAGGCAGGAGCCAGGTGCTTCTCCTGGTCTCCCATGGGGTGCAGGGCCCAAGCACTTGGGCCATCCTCCACTGCACTCCCTGGCCACAGCAGAGAGTTGGCCTGGAAGAGGGGCAACCAGGACAGAATCCGGCGCCCCGATCGGGACTAGAACCTGGTGTGCCGGCGCCGCAAGGTGGAGGATTAGCCTACTGAGCCGTGGCGCCGGCAAGTATGTGGTTTTTAAAGAAATCACAAGCCAGGGTAAAGGTCCAAGACACACAAAAAGCCCAGTTTATAAATTCAGCTTTTTAGAAAAAAGATTAGCTCTTTAATCAAGAAAATGCCAGACTCTGTAGATTTAAAGGAAAAAAAAAAAAACAAAGGAAAGCAGCAGAATAAAATTTAGGAGATATAGGATGAGGATTGGAATTGGTGATGCCTTTCTAAACACAAAACATAAACTATTAGATAACCTTTAAAAGACAAAAATGTGGCTCTTGACTGCTAAAAAAGAATCAAAAGTGGCATCAAATTTTGGTGCAAAAGATTTTGAGATCTAGGTGAAGATTTTTAGTAAGTGCACTTTCCATGAACTTTTTTAAGCCCCCTTGTATAACAAGCATCAATAGAAGACATTGGTAATTTGAGAATTTGTGCAGCAAATAATTTACCTTATTAGGCATACAACATTATCAATTACTTACATAACTTTTTAAAAAAGGTTTATTTATTTATTTGAAAGGCAGTGTTACAGAGAGGCAGAGGTAGAGTCTTTCACCTATTGGTTCACTCCCCATATGGCCACAATGGCTGGAGTTGAGTTGATCTGCAACATTAGCCCTTTAAATAACTCTTTAAAAAGAATAATTGCACAAAAAGTGATTTGAGAATCAAAAAAAAAAAAAAACTCAGATTGAGGTGTAGTTTTGAGGTAATTGGCTAGAGTTTTACTCTCACAGTAAATCTTTGGCATGACTATAAAATAAATATGATATGTGAAATATATGAATTTTGAGACAAGTAATTAAAAATGGGATGCTTGAACTACAGCACTGTGATGTGGTGACAAGGGAGAGCAGTTAATTTATTCTACAGGGATGACCGGCTTGGGTCACTGCCCTTCCAGACCCTGGTTCCAGGTGTGGTCCCCAGGGCATCCGGGCTGGGTGAGCACCAGAGATTTGCCTGCCCCATGCTTGGCACTCGCCTCCTGCTCTGTCAGTAATCCCTTTGCATGAGAAAGTGCCAACCTCAGTTCCTGAAGCCCTCTCAAGGGCTTTGCAGTTTTAAATATTTCAGCCCGAATCTACCTATTCATGATTGCTACAGGGCTGTCTTAAAAGGAAAGCTCCAGGTGAGTGAACCACAGCTATTCCATGCATTTCTTAAG